TAAAAAATGACATTAATAAGTAATTAATTATATTACTTTTTAAACCATTCCTTGATGTACGAGGGTAATCTTGATTTTTAAAAGCAATTCAAGATGAGGAAGTAATGTGGCTAGAGATGTTTGTCTTACCAACGAGGTCGGAGTCTCACTAAAGCAAGATTTCTTGTTTAGACAGAGAATGGAGAGGAAGTGGGGAGCATTTTTCTCCATAAATGGGACGGGGGACGGGATTATATTCTTTATCCCCATCCCCACACAATTCCCTTCCCCTTCTTATCGTCGTCTCGATCTCTACAAAAATAAATAGATAATTTAACGATAACAGATAATGAAATAGGCGGCAGAGAACACCCTTTTTATTTATATTAATGTGTAAGTTGCCATAATTAATTATATTTTTTTCATATAAGGAAAAGAAAACAAAAAAAAGGAAAAACATATTCCAACGTTGGAAATATGTTGAAACATTCGAATCTTTTATTTATTTATTTATTTATTTTTTTTGGCATTTTTCTTTTTCTATCCAGAAACAGAAAATAAATTTTCCCAGAAATAATAATAATAATAATTTCTGTTTTGAATTTCTTATGATTTATTTTCATTTATTTATTATGGATAAAATGGAGCACTCCTTTAACGTTAATATATATATTTATTGATATAATTAATTTGAAGTTTTTTTTTTGGAATTTTATTGTCTCGCATCTGTCTAGATTTTCTCTCTTAAGGGCAGTTTTATTTACTAATTTTATACCTTCCCAAAAAATAAAAATAAATTTTAAATATTTAATATTTTGACCAAATGGCCAACGGGTATATTTTTTTCAACATAGCATTACAATTTTTATGAATGGTCAAACGTTGGACCATTAGAGAAAGTTACAAAATGCCTTAAATGAGGTTAACTCCAAAAAAAAAAAAAAAAAAAAAAAAAAAAAAAAAAAAAAAAAAAAAAAAAAAAAAAAACATCCAATTGTGACATGTTTTTTTGGAATCCATCGTTATGTTAACTATTAGTCCCAAAAATTACAACGAAGTCACCAAATACAGGATCCGTTAACACGAATTTGGCATGTGATCATTAAAAAAAATAACCCAAATAATTTCTCTCTATCCAATTTTTTTATCGTTTTCTCTCGGAGTATTATTGGTCATTTTTATTGTTTTTTCTCGATTCATTCGTGTATTACTTCTGTCTCACATTTTAACTTTCAAATATAAAAAAATACTCGCTGTAAAAATTAAAAAATAAACCTATAATGACAAAAAAATAATAATAATAATAACAGTCATCAAAATATTCTAATAAAATTGAATCACTCCATTAACCATTAAATTTTATTCCATTAATGAGAAAACCTTTGACCTTCCCAATTTGCCAATCCATTTAAGAACAAAAAAAAAAAAAAAAACCCATAAATAATTGCCATTAAAGCAAACCTCTCTCTCTTTCTCTCTCTCTCTCTATATATATATATACATACATACACACACATATATATATATACACCCATCGTCTTCTTGTTCATGAAAATTTGCAGAGATTTGTTCCAAAGAGCATAAGAAAAATGTGGATTTTTCGTGGGATTTGTGTGGGATTGATGGCAATGATGATAATATTTGTAAGAGGAAATGAAAATGAACGTTATAGAAGCGTGGGAGGGAAGAAATTGGCATGGCGGACAGTGGTTGTGGATCAGAGCGGCCATGGAAATTTCTCAACCATTCAAGCCGCCATTGATTCTGTTCCTTCAAATAATATGTTCTGGGTCTCCATTCATATTAACCCTGGTATTTACAGGTCATTTTCAATTTCCTTAATTACCCTCAATTTCTCTTCTTTTTCATTATTTATTTATTTATTTGTCTGTTCTTATTTAGAGAGAAGGTGAAAATCCCATATGATAAGCCATACATCATTTTGAAAGGACAAAGAAGAAAAACAACAAAGGTTGTCTGGGACGACCATTTCACTCTAGCTCAAAGTCCTACTTTCACTTCTTCAGCTGATAATGTTGTCGTTAAATCCATCACTTTTGTGGTAAGTAAGTGAAGATCATTCATTTGTTCATATTAACGCTGTTTTTTTGTGCTCTAATTCTTGTGGGTATTAGAATTCGTATAACTTTCCATGGACTAATGGAAATCGAAGAGCTCCAGCAGTTGCAGCTATGATCACTGGCGATAAGGCTTCGTTTTATAAATGTGGCTTCTATGGTGTCCAAGATACCTTGTGGGATGATCAAGGACGACATTATTATCATCGTTGCGTCATTCAAGGTGCTGTCGATTTTATTTTCGGAAGCGCTCAATCCATTTTTCAGGTATCTTTTACTGTTTCTTTCGAAGTCGAATGATATGATGTTTGAAGCAGCATTGGTAGCAGGAACTTACTAGGGTTTAGGGTTTAGAGTGAGCTTGTGTAACAACTTAGATCCACCGCTAGCAGATATTGTCCTCTTTGAGCTTTCCCTTTCAGGCTTCTCCTTAAAACGCGTTTGCTAAGAGAATGTTTCCACACCCTTATAAATAGTGGTTTGTTCTCCTCCCCAACCAATGTGGGACATCACAGCTTGTGCTCAGTTAAAGTTGAAGTCGTGAAACCCTAATCGTTTTTTGGTGATATGATGTTTGAAGCAAAATAGGTGGCAAGAACTTACTAGGGTTTAGGGTGAGACTGTACTCGGATAAAGATGAAGTTATGAAACCCTAATCGTTTTCGATGATGTCGAAGGATATGGTGTTTGAATCAACATAGGTGGTAGGAACTTACTAGGGTTTAGGGTGAGAGACTGTGTTCAGGTAAAGATGAAGTCGTGAAACCTTAATCGTTTTTTATGATGTCAAATGGTATGACGTTTGAAGCAACATAGGTGCCAGGAACTTTCTAGAGTTTAGGGTTTAGGATGAGCCTGTGGTCGGTTAAAGATGAAGTCGTGAAACCCGAATTGTTTTCGTTGATGTAGGGATGTTTGATATCAGTGGTGGGAGAAGCATTTCTTCCATTGGGGTCTACAAGCTTCATAACAGCACAAGGAAGAACCGACCCAAATGATGCAAATGGGTTTGTTTTCAAAGATTGCAAAGTGTTTGGGAGTGGCTCAGCATTCTTAGGAAGGCCATGGAGAGGCTATTCAAGGGTTATCTTTTACAATTCTAGCTTCTCCAACATCATAAACCCTAATGGTTGGGACCCTTGGCATTTTGTTGGTCATGAGTAAGCTTATCTTTTATTCTATTTCAATGGTTTATCGGCTCGATTTTTTCAAAAGTTACAATATTACCCTTTGACCTTTCATAAATACTTTAAAATTGTATTATTAAGGTCGAGGACAATATTGTAACTTTCAAAAGAACCCATAACGTTTCTTTACTAATAACTATAAAACCTTGTTTTCTAACTCTCTTTCGAAAATTTCTCTACCCCAATTTGTTCGGCCGTAGACGACGCATATCCTAATTGGTTTGACTCACTCGGAATTGGAGTGAGTGCGACACAATTACAAATGTCTATTGCCATATATATATAAAAAAGTATCATTTTTTTTTTTTTTTTTGGCATATACTAAAAAAAGAATATAATTAATGACTTACTTTCTTTGTGAGAAAAATAGGCGTTTACTAATAATTTCCTTTTTAGCTTTTATCCATTTTTTAAATCTTAGGGTTTTGTCCATGTAAATCCTAAATTAAAAAAAAATTGCATGAAAAAAAGACTTATTAGGAAAGAAAATAAAGTTGTTTAAATTATTTCTAATTACTATTATTATAATAAATATTTGATTTTTATAATCCAGGGACCAATTAACCTATGCAGAGTATGGTTGCTACGGACCAGGTTCCGACATGTCGCATCGAGTAAAATGGGAAAAGAAGCTGGATTTGAATGAAATACAACAGCTAACCGACATGAGTTTTATCGATACTGAAGGTTGGATGCAAGATCAACCTTGGTAAAAAAAAATTTAACCGCTTTCAACCACTCTTAAATTTACTTTTAATGTTAATTGTTAAAATTACCACTAATCATGAAAATTTAAACCCTTCCCATTAGAATACTATTTTTTTTTTCTACATTTTTATTGAATAATATTTTAGTTAATGTACCTTTTGTAATTTATATTCTAGTCAGTGTAATTACCGATTTATCCTTTATCTTTAATAAATTATTATTATTATTATTTTATTATTATTCTTAGTCAATTTATTATCATTTATTGTTGACGTTAATAAGAATTTCTTTGATGTGTCAAAAGCATCAAAAGATGTTCGAATTTTGACAATTTTCCCTCAAAGTTTCAAATTGCGGTTCAATTCGGCCAATTTCATCCTTTTTATCATGATCAGTAGCAACTTTTTTGAAGAAATCAAAACCCAGAAAGTAGAATTCAGCTGCGTTTGATTTTGATCGTTGAAATTGAAATGGCATCTACTAAACCCCACGACTTTTGATTCTCAGCATGTTCTTTGATATGAACTCGTTGATTATCCTATTTCTCCAATGAACTTTGCAATTGAAATCTGTTTGTTTTCTGAAAGTTGCGACAAAATCGGATTCGAACTTCTATGTGGAGGACCAAATTCTGTCATCATGAATGTTGCACTCCACCTGTTTGATGAAATGCCCGTGAGGCAATTGTTTTAGTTCAAAAGGATCAACCATTGAGGATTGTTGGGAGAGTGTTCTACGTTGGCTAATTTAGGGAGTGATCATGAGTTTATTGGTAAGGAATACATCTCCATTGGTATGAGGCCTTTTGGGAAGGCCCAAAACAAAGTCACGAGAGCTTATGCTCAAAGTGGACAATTTCATACCCATCGTGGAGGTTTGTGGTTCCTAACATAGTATTAGTGTCGTGCCCTTAAGTTAGTTATGTCAATAGAATCCTCAAGTGTCAAACAAACAAGTTGTGAGTCTCAACGGTGTAGTCAAAAGTGACTCAAGTGTGGAACACAAGTTATACTTAGTTTGAGGACTCCAGAGAAGGAGTCGAGCCTCGATTAAGAGAAGGTTGTTCGAGGGCTCTATAGGCTTCAGGGGAGGCTCTATAGCGTACTTTGTTCGAGAGAAGGATTGTTGAGGTTTGTTGGGAGAGATCTCCACTGGTATGAGGCCTTTTGGAGAAGCCCAAATCAAAGTCACGAGTTTTTATACTCAAAGTGGACAATATCATACATAGCAGAGAGTCGTAATTTCTAACATGGATATTCTTTGCTTTTTACGGCACTTTAACGATTCTATTCTATTGGTAAATGATATTGGTCAAAGACTCTTGAAATGTAAGGAGAATACAAGTGATTACTATGTTCTTAATCAGAATGATACATCCGGAAGCCATCCTTCTCGGTTATAAGTTACAATATCAGCAAATGAAATACTCATCTCTTTGGTTTTTCACTGTATTCCCAGAGCTTGGATCCTCCTAACCAGTGACAAAGAAGTTGCATTTCTTTGCTTCCAACCTTCTAGGCTCTCCATTTTTTCTTCTTTAGGGAAGCATTGATCGTTGCCATCGAGTATTTTAACTATCTGCCTCATTTTGGGTCTTAAATCTGGGTTTGAGTGAGTACATGCCACTCCTAATCTCAACATTCTCATCAGTTCTTTGTGGTTGTATTCTCCATTCAGCCTTATATCAGCAAGTTCTTCCAGTGATCTTTTCCGGGTGTGGAATTCATGGACCTTCCTCACCAGCAATACCTCTGGCCGTCGAAAATCGACGGCCATCTGACCAGTAATCACCTCTAGAACGACTACACCAAAGCTGTATACATCAGCTGTCGCTGCTGCATCTCCCGAGTCTAAATACTCGGGGGACATGTACCCGAAAATCCCGCAAACCGATTGGCTTTTATCTATGGTTACATGATGATTTCCATGCTCATTTCTTGTCAGGAATTCTGCAAGGGCGAAAGAACTCAGCTTTGGGTTAAGATCAATATCAAGAATGACAGCTGATGAGGTGATGTTCTTGTGGATGACTTGTTCATCCCATTCCTTATGAAGATAAAGAATTGCTGAAGCCAGAGATTTGATAATGTTGTATCTATGACACCATTGTAAAGATCTATTGTCATGGTGGAAAAGCAGGTGGCTCAAGAGACGGTCTGCTGAATAATCATATACCACAAGCATCTCCCCTTGCTCTGTGCACCATCCACGGAGCTGTATCAAGTTTCTATGGCGAAGACGGCCCAAGTTTTCAAGTTCATTCGAGAATCGTTCCCGTAATGCAGGGCATGTCTTCATTCCAAGGCGCTTCACTAGAACATGGTGGCTGCTGTCAAGGAAGCCATGGTAGGCAGTTCCGAAGTCCAGCTCTGCCACCCGCTGCGAGTCGGAGAAGTTATTGGTGGCTGAAATGATCTCCTTGAATGATATTACTCTTGGATTGTCAATCATTTGAATAGTTTTTGTTCTGTCAAGAAGCTTATCAGAAGAGTTGGTGTAATTGTTCCGACTCTCAGCTGTCATATATATGGTTTCTCCATTGGCTGATACGAAATCTGATGAACTAACTGTTATTGTTGTCGCTGTGGTTCTGCTACTGCTAGTGCTTCTGGTAGTGCTGCCATTGGTGGTGGAAGATAGAGAAATGTACTGAGGATGAGACTGAAATGATGGAAGCGCCGGAAAATTCATACCACCGGAAAGTGCTTCCACAACCCATTTCATATTTGGTCTATACAGAGGGCTTTGGAGTGTACAGAGGAGACCCAAATGGATCAAACGCTCCATTTCAATCAGATTATAAGACCCATCTGGCAGCCGGTTATCGCCGCCGAGCAGCGGCATTCCGTCATCGGAGAGCTTTCGAAACCAATCAAGCAACACAATCTGATCATCAGGACATGTAAGGTCCACTGCTCGCCGACCAGAGACCACCTCAAGAAGAACAATACCAAAGCTGAAAACATCAGATTTTGCAGTGGCAATGCTTCTTCTTTGAAAACTCTCCGGTGGGAGATACCCAATTGTGCCGCCAATTTTGGTGGTTTCCACCAGCCGGAACTGGTGGTGGCTCATCGACGGCACGCTGTTTTGGTACTCGAGATCATGCTCCAACCACCTTGCCAAACCAAAATCACCAAGCTTAGCGTTGTAATTGGAATCAAGCATGACGTTGCTGGTTTTAACATCTCTGTGAATAATCTGTGTCTCTAATTGCTCATGAAGATAGAACAGAGCAGCAGCCAAGCCACTCACAATCTTCACTCTCTGTTTCCAACTAAGATCCGTCCCGCCGTTCTCCGGCCGCCGGAAAAGTACTCTGTCCAAGCTTCGGTTGGGCATATAATCATAAACAATGAACAATTGGTCTTCATGAACACACCAACCACGGAGCCGGACAAGATTCCGGTGCCGGAGATGGGCAACCGCCACCAGCTCTGCCACAAACGTCTTCTCAAACTTCTCCCCTTTTTCAGCCAAACATTTCACAGCTGCCATAGTTCCATCACTAGGCAAATATGCTCTGTAAACCTTCCCAAATCCACCACTACCAAGAATTTCCTCTGCACTGAATCCTTTGGTTCCAATATAAAGCTCTGCAAAGCTGAAGATTCTTGGGTTGTCGCCGCCGAGTTTCTCAGAAAGGTGTACCCCATCGGTGTCGTGAAACTCGGCCGGTGGTGGCTTTCTGGGTCTGCCGCCGTAGCAACAAGAATTAACCCATCTCAGGTTATGGATTTTGTGAAGGGAATCTCGGAGTAAGGCTTGAAATTGAGACCAACTATCTTGATTGTGATCCTGTTTGTTCTGATGTTTGTTGTGGCTGTGATTGTCGTTGAGTTCATGAAGCTCTTCACGATCAAGTGGCTGGACTTCATCGAAGTCCGCCGGTAGAAGAAAACAGAGACGGTTCAGCTTCATATTCGAAGAAGAAGACGAAGAAGAAGAAGAGGCAATGTGGACATGAAGAGGAGTTTTGGGGTAAAGGTTTGAACTTTTTGCATATTTGTATTAATTATGGGTGAGATTTTTGTGTCNTTTTTTTTTTTTTTTTTTTTTTTTTTTTTTTTTTTTTTTTTTTTTTTTTTTTTTTTTTTTTTTTTTTTTTTTTTTTTTTTTTTTGTGGGTTTTGAAAATAAATAAAATAATTCAAAGTCGTTAGGTTGCAAGGTTGAATTGAATGTCAACAGGAAGCCAAATTAGAACCCACCTTTGTCTGTCAACATCATCGGAACAATATTAACTAATTCTAGAACCTTAAGTTGATCAAATAGTTCTTCAAGTAAATTTATTTAAATCTAAAAATTCTAAATAAAAAAGCTCAACTCGAGACTGTTATTTAGGTGAGATCGAGAAAGGATCCCAAGCTATTTAACCATCTGATTGTTTGTTATTTAGGTGGGACCAACAAAAGATCTCGAGCTATTTGATCATTTGATTGCTATTATTTATGTGGGACAAGCAAAGGGTCTCGAGCTATTTGACCATTTCACTGTTGTTATTTAGGTGAAACCGACATAGGATCCCGAGCTATTTGACCATTTGTCTACTGTTATTTAGGTAGGACCGGCAAAAGATATAACTATCACCGGTAAGTTTCTTATCTTTTGTTATTAGATTTCATTATAACCATTTATTTGTCTACTACTCCCTTTGGTATTGGAAAAAAGGGATGGGTGATTCGCGAACAAGTACGAGAGTTTCTACTCACAGGTTAGCGTATTTACCTTTCCTCTTGATATCGAATGTTCTGAGATAAAGAAATGATTTGTTCAATCGGTTAGAAATGGATGATACTTTTGGTACCGGGGCTAATATTTCTAATTAAGCTACATTCTCAAGATTTTGGTAGTTTTTCTTTGATATTTAATTAAAATTCGAGTATTTTTACGTGATTTATTAGTTTACTCTTGAATAATTTTCATTTTTTTTTTAATGGAGTGTTATTTTCAATTTTTTTTAATTAAATTTCAAAATTTTAATTTGATTCACTAATTATTTGTTGTCCATGTATGTACACATAAATTAGGTTATCGGTGTATCAACTATTAAATTAGGTTTAAACGAGTAGTCAAACTCGCAACCATATTATATTTATAAAAAAAGATATGTTATATTATTATATTTTATTTAAATTATTATCTTTTCCCTATATACCAAACATAAATGTGATTAATTTTGAGACTTTTTTTTTTTTTTAATAGGTGGAAAACGTGAACAATATTATTTTTTTAGATTTTAAAGAAATTAAATAGTTTCAACCAATAGATTGAAATTAGTGTGAAAAAACATATACCAAATAAAAATCATTTTTATTTTAGAGGTCAATAATTCGATCATTTATTTTTATAAATAGTTAAATTAAAATAAAATGCTCGTGATAAATAGTCATTAAAATAAATTAAGTGGATAGAAAGCTTCTAGAGTAAAAACTATAAAATTTATAAATGTTGCTGTTTTTTTCGAATATTCTATTTATTTTTGTTAATAAATTCCTTTTTTATATATATTATTATCTTCCATTTTTTCTTCTACAACTTCTCTAAATTTCTAATTATGTGCAATTTAAAAATAATTTTGTATTCACTGAATAATTATTTTGGATTTTACAAATTCTCGTGAGGAACTATACATATATATATATATATATATATATTCACTTTGTTTTTTCAAAAGAGCTTATGAAAAAAGCTTTATGAAACATTTATTATTTAAGTTCATAATTGATTTTGTTAGTTGAGAGCTGGAATTCAGTTACCTACTCTTGATATGTATATATAATATATATTATATAATAATAATAAATTAATAAATATTATTTTTTAATGAAAAATATATTCTTGAAAAAGTCGTTAATTATAGATTTAATTTGAGATCGGTGTAGTTTTAAAAATAATTATTGACCGATTTTTTGAAAACTTACTGTGAGAGGTAATAAAAATAGTCAGTATATTTTAATTTTTTAAATCTAAAAAATATTTATTAGAAATTAGCGAACAATATACATACTATTTCAATTTTTTATTTTAATATTTAATATCTATATTTTTTAATACACGATACTTATTTTAATTTTTTAAATTGAAATCTAATATATTTTCTCGTATTTTAAAACATATATTGATATAAAATAATATTTTTTAATGTCCGGTAATCAATCAACTATTTTATTTTTAAAGGAAAGTTTTTATTGATTTTTTTAATAAATTTGTAGGTATATATTTATGGACTAAATTAGGAAAATGACATATTTAAATAAATAAATAAATGTGGAGAAAATATATACTAATAACCTTCCATCTAAGTCGTGTTTGCTAATTATAATTCAACAACCAAAACCACTTGGAATTTATTTTGAAAATGATAGTTTTACCTTTTACATTTTTTTAATTATTAATTAAAATTTTAAAAATTAGGTTTAGCTGTTCAACCAAAAATTATAATTATAATTATTATAAATTTTATTTTGGATCTTTTTTAATATGAATTTACCTTTTCCCATCCAATGGTTTTTTTTTTTAAATAAATTAAAACTCAATGTAAGATGAGCTATTTCGTGTCTGAATTTTAACTCTTATTTAAACTTTTTTTTTTTGCTTTGGACGTTATTAATTTGTCTTTGGATGAATCACGCTAAATTTATTGTGAAAATCTACTTGGACTATTGTAGAATTAGAGGATTCGTCTTTCTTACGACCCGCTTTTCACTCTCCTTGCTTCTGATTCCTCCAGCTTTCGTTTCGTGGAAGTCTTCAGTAGAAGAGTTGGTGAAGCTAGAAGTTTATGGACAACGGAAAGAATGAGTCATGTTTCTAAAAAGAGTGACCCTTCTTTGTTTTATTCCCTTTTCCTATTCTTTCAAAGTCCGTAGGAGAGTTCCCACTACCGATAACAGGCGAGAGTCATGAGTGCATAGCAAACCAAGAGGGAGGACGTCGCTTGATTAATTGGAAAACAATCACGGCCCCTCAAATCTCGTAGAGGAGGGAGGGGGGTATCGCTGTGGATCTTACGATGCTTTCTTAGACCAAAAGTTGTGGAGATATTCTCATAGAATGTCCTTTGGAAGAAGGGATAAAAAAAAGTAACTGGGTTGCTGTAACAGTCTGAGGCAACCGTTAGTAGATATTATCTATTTTGGCTCGTTACGCATAGCCGTCAGTCTCACGGTAATAGAGCGTGTATATTAGGGAGAGTTTTTCACACCCTTATAAGGAATGTCAGTTTCCCTTTCCAACCAATGTGAGATCTCACGATCCACCTATTTTAAGGGCCCAACATTCTCGTTGGTACACCGCTCAGTGCCTAACTTTGATATCATTTGTAACAGCTTGAGGCCATTGCTAGTAGACATTGTCCGCTTTGACCCCTTAAGTATCACCATTGCAAGAATGTTTTGTTCTCCTTTCCAATCGAAATAGAATATCACAGATCCTCTCAAAACTTTTGGAACGGCTTGCCGCAACAACCAAAGATTTCTAACTTACATTCACTTGTTAATGATCCACCGTTGTAGGCTAACATGATGGCTTCAAGAACATTTCATAACCAGAATTGTTCTATAACTTCACGCTTGGCTAGCACCATCTTATGAATGCACAACTGCCTTTGGGGGCCACCAAACTTATTGGTTTTGCAGCCTCACCCAACTTTAATCGGTATATTCGGCATGATCATCCCTTTTCGTGAATAGATCACTTTACAAACTCGGTATAACCGATCGTTTTCATGAACAAATCATATTACAAGAGGAGTATGACCATCTCGATTCATAAGCAAACCAATTTTCAAACTCGACATGTCTGACTCTGTTTGTGAGCAAATCACTTTACAAATTGGCTATGGTCAATCCGTTTCATAAACAAATCACTTTACAACGGGCTATGGTCGGCTGTTTTCATAAACAAATCACTTTACAAACGTGGTATGACCGACCCTTTTCATGAATAAATTACTTTACAAGTATAACGGGCATGTTCAGAAGCTTATCATTTTATTAATTTGGACGAAAATAACAATTTAGTCTATAAATTTTAGTTTTTAACTATTCAATCTCTTTGTACTTCCCTATTATAACAACAACAGCGGTTTGATTGAATATACCAACTAAATATTTATTTAACTTGAAATACCAAATAAATGGTTGTGGAAATAAATTGTTATTTTCTCCAAAGATTTGCATTTTTTTTTTTTAGAATTGCAAAACGCATATTCTCCAATTTTAATTAGAAAATAAAATTTAAATAGAAATTAAATTTAAAAGATAAAAATAATGGGGGCAGCTTCTCGATTTCGTGGTGTGCCGTACGACTGCGCCTCAAAAGATATCCGTCGAAGAAGAGGAATTAGGGCAAGCAAATTAAGGGCTATTGTCGTAATTGTACATCACGATCGAGGGGTAAAATTGTAAATTGAAATAAAAGCGACACAATGGTTCATGGAAACCCTAGACGCCCATAGTGGCTATAAATATGTGAGAAGTCTCGCTGCCAAGACCTCGCTGCTTGCTACTGCGTAAAATTGAGGCTGCTTCTTTCTTCTCATTTCTCTGCAAATTCTTGTGGGTAAGCATTCGATTCTTGACCTTTGTAGTTGTTTTTGTCTCATGTTTCTCTCTTGTTCATGATTTTCTTTGAACTTCTTAAGTGATAGTTAGTCTTCTGCTTGTCTAGTTTGTTCTTTGATTTAGTTTATATGCTTGTTCGGATGTTTTGAGTCAGATCTATGAATTTGGCGGTGTAAATCTATGGTCCTTTACTAATCTTGTTTAGCTTCAAGTAGATTTATGTTTATAAAACTACTGATTGCATCCTAGGTGTTCGATAATCGATGATTAAACGTTGTGTGCTTAATATTTTGTTCTGATTTACATCTTTCTATAGTCTTTAGCTAGTATGCCGATATCTGTTGTGAAGTTCATGATGTTTCATAGTTGGATTCAGCATCTTTCTTTGTCTCAATTAATTTTTTTGGATTCTTGCATAGGTTGTCAACAGTTGCTTAATGTCAGTATGGATCCT